GTTTATTTACAGTGTTGTGTTAGTTTCAGATATAAGGCAAGGTGATTCACTAATATACTGAATATATGTATATATGTATTACTGAATCACCTTGATATATATACATACACACACACACACACACACACAAATGTGTGTGATTTTTAGTCGTTAAGTCATGTCTGACTCTTTGTAACCCCATAGACTGTAGCCCACCAGGCTTCCCTGTCCATGGAATTGCCCAGCATGAATACTCAAGTGGATTGCCATTTCCTTCTCCAGGGGATCTTCCCAACCCAGGGATTGAACTGCATCTCCAGTTTATCATTTGTATATCATTCCTCAAAAAAGTTGATAAGGAAACAAATATCAGCACATTTGAAATTGACTCTCCACTTCTGCTAAACCTTGGGTGGTGGGCAGGTGTCTTTCATCATTATTTTCTGTGTTGAAAGGACTTTGCAAACTTTTACAGTGGTGTCCATAAAGGGTTACCAGTACTGTGATCTTGGGAGGTTGATGAGCTTGTTAAAAGTAACAGAAAAGGACCACTTTCCTAAATGTCTCCAAACTGTTTTTTAACAGCATGACTTCTGACAGCGAATGTGTGCATGTTTTTCCCAATTCCAACCAGTTCTCCAAATCTTCAGATACCAACTTAGTGTCCTACAATCTGATTCAGCTCTGACACTAAGTATTCAGAATTAGCACAAACCCCACAGGTTAAGGGCTCAGTCCCATAAGACTCCTTCCTCGACCTCAGGCACCAATCGCAAGACAACACACTTCTGACTGACTGGCTATAAAATTGGGCGTCCCCACAACTCGCTCTTTAGGTTTGACAGTTTTGCCGGAACAGCTTATAGAACTCAGGGAAGCAGCTTAAATTTTATTTCCAGTTTATTGTCAGTGTTAAAGGACAGCAACCCTGAATAGTCACTGGAAGGATTGATGCTAAAGTTCCAATACTTTGGCCACCTGATGTAAAGAGCTGACTCGTTGGAGAAGACCCTGATGCTGGGGTTTGAGGGAGGAAGAGAAAGGGAGGACAGAGTATGAGATGGCTGGATGGCATCATCTACTCAGGGGATGTGAGTTTAAGCAAACTCCAGGAGATAGTGGAGGAGGGGAAAGCCTGGCGTACAGTCCATGGGGTCTCAAAGAGTCGGACACGACTGAGGGACTGAACAGCAACAAGCAGCTTACTGGAAAGGGTGCAACTCAGTAACAGCCAGATGGAAGGGGTGCATAGGGGCAGGTCCCGGGGAGCGTGTGCAGAGCTTCCGTGTCTTCTCCGGGTACAGCACCCTCCCAGCGCCAACCCGTAAGCTTTCTGAGCACTGTTCTTTGGGGTTTCTTTCCGGAAGTTTCATTACCTAGGCCTGACTGATGAAGTTGTTGGCCACTGATTATTGAAATCAAGCTCCAGCCTTTCTCCTCTTCATGAAAGGTCAGGGAGTGGGCATGGAAAATGCAGCGTTATCATCACATGGTTGTTTCCTCCAGCCACCAGTCCCCCTCCTTGGGGGCAAGTTAAGAGGGAACCCCAGCAAGAGTCACCTCATGAGTATAAATTCAGGGCTGGTTGAAAAGTACTCATTACAAGTGACTCAGGGAATTACTAGATCTTTATTTTTATTTTTATTTTTTTTTTGATCCAAAGGACTAACACAGCCTGGGTATATTTTATAGTAGTATGACAGGTGGAAAGAAAAAAATTTTTTAAATCATCTGGAACCATAAAGAAACATAAAAAGGTTGAAAACTTATGCCCAGACCACAGGGTGGTGAGTTTTTCCTTCTTTCTTTCATCTCTCTAAGTTTTTTAATGTAAAAACATACTTGCTTACATAAAAATATTTATCTGAGTCTGGCCTGGCAGTCACTCAGTCGTGTCTGACTCTTTGCGACCCCATGGACTGTAGCCCACCAGGCTCCTCTGTCCATGGGATTCTCCAGGCAAGAATACTGGAGTGGGTTGCCATTTCCTTCTCCAGACTAGATCTTTAGAGACTCTGTGCCAGGTACTGGGGACAAAGACAAACATATACATTTATTTTTTTCTTTTTAATATTTTATTTTTAAAAATCTATTTATTTGGCTGCACTGGGTTTTAGTTGCAGCACATGGGATCTCCCCCTCCCTCTACCACTGCTCCGCCAGCATCTTTTAGTTGTGGCATATAGGATCTTTAGCTGTGACATGCAAACACTTAGTTGTAGCATATGGGATCTACTTTCCTGACCAGGGATGGAACCATGGCCCCCTGCATTGGGGGCATGGAGTCTTGGCCACCAGACCACCAGGGAAGTTCTCCAAAATATATATGTCTTATTTTGTCCCGATGTGGCACCTGCCTACTGAGCAAAGAAGGTAAATCTGATTTTGTTTCCCCCTAGTGCCAGGGATGTATTTGAGCATTAGCACTGGCTGAGTTTCCCCTTCCAATATATTAAAAATATGCACACATGATTGTGATTTGAAAGGAATCCAAAGAAAATCTTTCATAACTGTAATGACATCCAGAGCCATATAATTTGAAAGATGAGAATTGTTTTCCATGTAGTCGTATGGATTATGTCTGTAAGTGTAGTCTTCTTAATTATACGTATGACTTTAGCTTCTGAAAATGCCATAGCCTCTTCCTGGCAGCGCACACCGGTGTCTGGGGCCAGGGCTAGTCCTGTTGACTTTCCCAGGTCCTAGGATCAGGCTGCTTCTTATAATCTGTAGAGCAATACAAAAGAGTTTTCGTTTGTGGCCTAAACATGCACATCTTTGAGTCTCAATCATACTCTGTGAGTTTCTTTGTCCTTAAGAGTCAAATAATCTCCCAGAGTCCCAATTAAACTCATTCAAGCTTACATTTTGAGTTTCATGCTAGCTTCTGGCTTTTCATCTTGGTTTCACTCCTTGGAACATGAACACAGCTCTGAAGGTGCAACACCCAGGGCTTCCAAGACCTGCACATGGGTTGCTCCAAGGTCAGGCAAAAGGTTAAATTGAACTAAATAAAGTCACTGAGTTGGGATACAACCACTAAGTTTCTTTTGGATTCATTTTGAAACCGTAAGTCACAATTTTCTTGCAAAAACTCAGGCAAGGTTTTTCTTAGAGCATGGTTTTGCTTGGCTTTGCTTAAATAATATCCGTGCTTGTGTACTCAGTCGTGTCCAACTCTTTGAGACCCCATGGACTGTAATCCACCAGGCTCCTCTGCCCAGGGGATCTCCTAGGCAAGAATTCTGGAGTTGTTGCTATTTCCTCCTGTAGGGGATCTTCCCGACCCAGGGATTGAACCCTCGTGTCTCCTGCATTGCAGGTGGGTTCTTTACCATTAGCACCCCTGGGAAGCCTTGTTACAGCAGTCCTCGGGAGTGAACATAGAAGGCAGTGTGGCCAAGCTGCTCTGGAGCGGGGTCTGAGGGCCTGTGAGCAGAGGGGCCATTGCGTGCCCCGCCCCCCCCACCATGGTCCTCTCCTCCCTTAGTAGAGTTCACTGGATGAAGCCACCCAGATGAAGACTGGTAACACTTGAACTACTTTCAGGCTCTCTGCCAACTCAGATTCCAAAGACAAAACCTGTGCTGGGCTGAATAACATTCTGGATCTTCATGTGCAAATGGACGGCAAAAAGTGTATGAATCGATTCCATTATGATTCCGGAGAGCAATAAAAGACTTTTATTGTTTATTATGGAGCCTATGTTGAAGGGTGCATTCAGAGCCAGAGGAAATCAGTTAATAATGACACCAAACTTAGCGAAGAGACTGGCACGTAATAGGTGCTCAGTGCTTTAAAGCTGTATTATACTTCTTGGGTAGGGCTCCCCAGATAGTTCAGTGGTAAAGAAACCCCTGCCAACGCAGGAGACACAAGAGATGCAGTTTTGATCCCTGGGTTGGGAAAATCCCCTGGAGGAGGGAATGGCAACCCACTCCAGTATTCTTGCCTGGAGAATCCCATGGACAGAGGAGCCTGGTGGGCTACAGTCTATAGGGTCACACAGAGACAGACACGACTGAGCACAGGACAGATTGTACTTACTCCCTGAAGCGGAATAGATTTAAATTATTTGCAATGCATATAATTTTAGGCAGCGGTGTCAATATTTCTTGTTATGTAATTTATTGTGGCATATTATTCAACTAGACCCAACGTTAAGAATCTGTGTATAAACCAACCATGTATAAAGTAGATAACTAATGAGAACCTACTGTACAGCGCAGTGGGGGAAAAAAATTAAGGTACAATCTATTTATAGAACATGTATTAAGCTAAGCTTAAAAATACATTCCAATATACAGTAAGTACAGACACATAGGTTTTGATTCCACTCATACGAGGTACCTAGAATAGGTGACTAATTCATAGAGTCAGAAAGTATACTAGTAGATTGTGTGGCTGGGGACTTAGTGTTAATCAGGGACAGAGTTTAAGTTTAGGAAGGTGGAAAATTGGGAAATGGATGATGGTGAGAGTTTCAGAACCATGTGAATGTACTTAGTACCACTGAACTGTCCAGTTAAACCTGGTCAAAATAGTATGTTTTATATTATGTGACTTTACCACAATAAAACAATTTTAAAAAAAGAGAAGAAATTACATGTAAACTGTTTTTCATTTGTTTTTTAGATTTAGTTACATTAATTTTAATGAATAATTTAAACAAATTAACATCTGAATTCATGGTAAGGACTGGTTGGTATTACTAGCTGGAAAATTTATGTAGATGACTTTGTAAAGGCTACCTTGATTTTTTTTTCTTTTTTTTTTTTTTAAGACGCTTTAAAATTTTTTTAATTTATTTTTGTTTTTTCCCAAACTTTAAACTTTTTGTTTTGTATTGGGGTAATAAAAATATGGAACTCCTCACAAATTTGCCTGTCATCTTCGAGCAGGGGCAGCGCTGGTCTTCTCTATCATTCCAATTTTAGTCTATGTGCTGCCAAAGCAAGCACAACTGTTTCTCCTTTCTAATTTAAGTCTGCTTTCCTTTTTCTCATTTTCTTTTCATTTAGGTCTTGTATAACATCTTAATTGCCTTCACGAAGATGCACAAATTTGAAGACATAGAACCCGTGGATATTTTGGCTGGATGTGCCCGATTCATCATCGTTGGGTGCGGGGGTGTGTTTTTTGGTGTCATATTTGGATTCATTTCTGCGTTTATCACCCGTTTCACCCAGAACATCTCTGCGATCGAACCCCTCATCGTCTTCATGTTCAGCTACTTGTCCTACCTCGTGGCCGAGACGCTCTACCTCTCTGGCATCCTGGCGTGAGTACAAACGAAGGACCAGCTCCCATCCAATAAGGAGAGTTTAGGACCGCATCTTGTGGACCAGAATTAGGAAAGGCCTAACTTCTAAAGCTAGTCCTCAAAAGCGATGCAGGATTCAGGTTTCTTGAACTTCTGTCAAATCTGGTTCAGGTCCTTTGCCAAACAAATGTTCTCCCCAGCACCTGCATTTGCTCTGTCCTGGTGATTTGCCTGAAGAGAGCTTGCTGAGCAAGTACAAGGTCAATTTATAATGCTCAGAAAAGCTGGTGCAGAGATGAGCTGGGAGAGGTTCAAGGTTAAGGTCTCACTTCAGTTGTTATCTTTTTTCCTTGAAAAATGCATTGTTTTAAAGGGAAGCATGCCAGGAACTACTGTCATTCCTGGACTCTGCTTTCTGCTCTTTCACTAAAGTCATGTCATTGCTCCAGGACTGGTCAGTGTGAAGTAAAACTCAAGAGATAGGGTAAGACTTAGCAATTCAGATTTTTTTCCTAATGAAAATGTTTTTGAAATGTTTATCCTTGTTTAGATCTTGGAATAAGGCTTCTCAACTTGATTTATTATATCTGATCATGTTGCCTTTTTTAAAATGACATTATCCTCATACCCAGATCCTTGGGCACAATTCTGTTGTGTAGAAATATTTATTTTGATTACATGCAGTAGTGTAAAGTCTAGGCAGCTTCCCTAGTGGCTTAGATGGTAAAGAAACTGGTTGCAATGCAAAAGACCCGGGTTCATCCCCTGGCTCGGGAAGATCCCCCAGAGAAGGGAATGGCTACCCACTCCAGTATTCTTGCCTGGAGAATCCCATGGACAGGGGAGCCCGGTGGGTTACAGACCATGGGGTCACATAGAGACAGACACAACTGAGCAACTAACACTTTCACTTTCACAAAGTCTAGGCACTCATCATTCTCTCTCCTTAAAAGTGAATGTGGATGGACCCAGAGTCTGTTGTACAGAGTGAAGTAAGACAAAAAGAGGAAAACAAATATCATATTCTAGCTCATATGTGTGGAATCTAGAACAGTGGTACTGATGAATCTGTTTGCAGGGCAGTAATAGAGCCGCAGACATAGAGAACAGACTTGTGTACACAGATGGGGAAGGAGAGGATGGGACGAACTGGGAGAGAGGCCCTGCATATGTACACGACCATGTGTAAATACAGTGGGAAGCTGCTGTTTTGCACAAGGAGGTCAGCCTGGTGCTCTGTGATGACCTAGAGGGTGGGATGGGGCGTGGGGGGCCGTGGGAGGAAAGACCGAGAGGGAGTGGATATATGTGTACTTACGGCTGGTTCACACTGTTGTACTGCAGAAAGCAGCACAACATTGTAAAGCAGTTATATTCCAAGTATAAATAACTACATACTGTCAGCGAAAGGAAATTTCTAGTTCTCATCAGGAAGTTGCAAGTCTAAAATTAAGTAGCGGTTCTGCCAATTTATGCAAATTAATGTATTTAGCTCATATAACCTATCTTGCATTTTTGAAACCCACCTGATTTATTTGATATAATATACTAAAAGTATACATATATTTTGAAGAATAAAAACCTACTATGTACTGAAAAAAATTTAGCAAACTACTAAGACAAAGCAAATCCTTTCTTTCCTTTCCAAACTTGCTAAGTGGCTCTAGAACAAAGCATTTTAAGTGAAAATGTTCCATTAAATTTTTGTAGGGAACATTATAGTATGAGGGGTCTTGCTGAATTATTCTTTCTTGGCGACTGCACTGTCCTTATTTTGGTTTAAGGCAAGTGAAGCTGAGAGTAAGAGGTAGGGCTGACATAGCTTTTGATGAGGAGAGCAAGAAAGAAACAGCCCTGCTTATGGCTCCTGCATGAATTATGCACCATTTATGTTTTTGGGAAACCATGCCACTGCCACTTTCCTCTTCCAGGGGATCTTCTTAACCCTGCATCTCCTGCATGGGAGGAAGAGGAAATGGCAAACCATTCCAGTATTCTTGCCTGGGTAAAGCCCCATGCACAATGGAGCCTGAGGCGTTACAATCCACGGGGTCACAAAGACATCAGACACAACTGAGTGACTGAGCGCCCACATACGCCATCACCAAAAGAGAGGATTTTCCAATGAGGGACAAGGTCCTGGGCTTCTCTCTGTTCCTTCCGCAGAATCACAGCCTGCGCAGTGACAATGAAAAAGTATGTGGAAGAAAATGTGTCCCAGACCTCATACACGACCATCAAGTACTTCATGAAGATGCTGAGCAGCGTCAGTGAGACCCTGATCTTCATCTTCATGGGCGTGTCCACCATTGGAAAGAACCACGAGTGGAACTGGGCCTTTATCTGCCTCACCCTGGTCTTCTGCCAGATCTGGAGGGCCATCAGTAAGACATGGCAGGGCCCATAGAGTCCTACCTGCTTCTCTTTTTATTTTTCTTGTTCCTTCCTGCAAGGTTAAAGCATAAGCAATAAGATGATGCCAACTTGTTTCACTGGTTTGGGGTGGGGGTGGAGGGGTTGGGTACCTTATGGTGACCAGGAACGTTCTCTGGTTGCTTCCTCAATCAGTTCAAAATAATTTCTGGCTGAGAAGTTTCTGCACTAAAACAAGGCTGGAGCCAGAGCACTTTTATTTTTTTAATTGAGGAGAGAAATTTCACAAAGACACATTTAAATATAACAGTACATTTACCTTTTGCTCATCATGTCTTTGCCAATTTGTACCTTCTTGCACCTTAAATTAGATATAGATTATAAACTGCAGGCTCTCCTTTATACTTTTGTTATAAGAAAAGTTCAATCTCACAAATTGTAGTCCATAGAAGGCAAATCCTGCTGGAAAAGAATCTCCTAAATATTACAGGTGGTTTTAGTCAAGGATTGAGTATGATGTATAGAAAACAAAGGAAGTGGATCCTTTTTTTAAAAAAACGCTTTGTAAAGGCAACTCTGCAGTGTGACTGTCTGTTGTTCAGTCCCTAAGTCCTGCCCAAATCCTTGCGATCCCAGGGACTCCTGCATGTCGGGCTCCCCTGTCCGATCAGCCCTATCAAATATGTCATTTGAAAACATGAGATATCTTGTTGAAGGCCTTTTAATTTAACTTGTATATTTGTTTCTGGAATTAGTAAGAACAGTCATTACTGAACTACAAGATTTCTTTTGATTAGAAGCAACTATCTTTTAAAGTGATTTTGACCAATATTTGAAACATTTTTTTACATGACTTTGATGGGTAGTTTCAAGCCAATTACTCAGAGAGAAATTAGGAGAAATGGCTGAGAACTCATCTTGAATATATACATTCTAAATTTAGAATGGTTTTTAGGATGTAGGAAAGAATAACAGGAATGCAGAAATATTAAAAACATTCATAAAAGTAACTCTGAATATGTGTGCCTTGGGTCTTCAGAGGAGAAGAGAATTAAGAATACTCTGATATAAATTTATAATCTCACATCAAGTCTTATCACTAATTAGCTATTTGACTTTGGGAAGACAGTTAACTGTGCTTCCCAGGTGGCACAGTGGTAAAGAATCCACCTGCCAATGCAGGAGATGTGAGTCCAGTCCCCGGGTTGGGAAGATCCCCTGGAGAAGGAAATGGCAACCCACTCCAGTATTCTTGCCTGGACTATTCCATAAACAGAGGAGCCTGGTGGGCTACAATCCATAGGGTCGAAAAGAGTCGGAGGCGACTGAGCACACGTACAGAAGGTTAACTACTGAAAAGCTTCTTCCCCAACCACAAAACAGTGCACATGGACAAATTTCTTAGGTCCTTTTAAGTTCTAATACTACAGGGATCTACAGAGTCAAGTAAAGGTCAAGAGGAGCATCAGATTCAGAGCTTCAGCCCAGCCAACAAGAATAGAAACCATCTAGGAGATTAACGTTGCGGAGACCTCATCATGGTTGACCCTTGGCGGCCATCCAGCCCAGCTCCTGTATTTTCCATCCAAGGGAAATGATGGAACAGTTCCCAAGAAAATGACTTGGCCACATCAGGGTGAGGGACAGAGCCAGGTGTCAGAGTCCAGCTCTCTGGCTACTACCTGACTCATCATAGCTAAGAATAGTTCTCAGTCATGAAGGGTTATAACATAGAAGGTCATGTTTTCTGTTATTTATAAATATTGAGTTTATTGAACTTTACTTCCATCTTCTGATATAAATACTGTCAGCATCTCCATAAAGCACGTGAGGACCTGAGTACCTGACAAGATTAAGACACTTGTCCAAGGACACATGACTAGCCCATGGAGGAGCTGGGACAAACCAAACAAAGTGAAAAACATTAAGTTGTATTGTCTCCTGCATTTTCAATGTCCCTACTATGAAAGGATGCTAGGAAAGAATAACAAGAATGTGGAAATATTTAAATTATTCATAAAAGTAACTCTGGATATGTGTGCCTATTGGGTCTTCAGGGGAGAAAAGAATTAAGAATACTCTGATATAAATTTATAATGTCACATCAGGTCTTGTCATATCACTAACTAGCCATCTGACCTTGGTGGTGGTGGTGGCTGTTGAGTAGCTAAGTCATGTCCGACTCTGTAATCCCATGAATTGCAGCACTCCAGGCTCCTCTGTCCTCTACCATCTCCCAGAGTTTGCTCAAATTCTTGTCTCTTGAGTTGGTGATATTATTTGACCTTGAGGAAACAGTTAACTACTCAAAAACTTCTACCCCAAGCACACAGCAGTGGGTGTGGACCAATTCGTTAGGTCCCTTTCAGTTCTAATACTACAGCGATCTATAGGGCAGTAGAGTTAGTGTCAAGGATGCTTGCTGTGATGGCTGTGCCATTAGAAGTCACATGAGGATACGGAGTGCTTTATTATTCTCTGATTAGTCAGGGCTCAAGTGAAGGGAACTCTCTCACCAGGAAATCCTGCACTGGTTGTAACTCAGCCATGTGGGCCACTGGGAGATGGAGAAAGATGTGATAGACAACACCTATTGCCAATAAGTTTTCCCACCCTCCATTTCTGACACTTACTGACAGTAAGAAGCCCCCTGGTGACCCCTTGCCAACTTCCTTTCTTGTTTGCATTGAGTCTCAAGAAGAACCAAACCACCCATACAAGCTCTGCTCACCGGCAGAGAACCCCCAGGCACTGCGAGGGCCCCTCTCACCTTCAAAGTCACACACCTCTTCTGCTGACTCAGTGAGAGTAGGAGTTGATAGACAGGCTTGTACCCTCCAAGCAATACCCTTGCTTTCCTTAATTTTGAAAGGCAGAGCAAAGTTTATGAAAATAGATTAGAAAATAGATGCCATTTCTTATTGCAAAAGTATCAAGATGTATTCCTCTAAATACACACACGTGCTCAGTCATTAAGTCGTGTCCGACTCTATGCAACCCCATGGACCATAGCCTGCCTGTCTCCTCTGTCCATGGTATTGTCCTGGTAAGAATACTGGAGTGGGCTGCCATGTCCTTCTCCTAGATCTTCCCAAGCCAGGGATCAAATTCTCGTCTCCTGCATTGCAGGCTGATTCTTTACCACTGAGCCACCTGGGAAATCCCAAATACACACACACACTGAAACACACATACTTGTGAACATCCCTGTAGGGAACAAGACTTCTGACTTGAAGCACTGCTGTGCCACAACTAGCCGAGAAGTGAAAAGCCTTGTAAGCTGATCTGTTTGGCGCGGTCAGCCATGGGTGTGATGGAATTCAGTTGCCTTGTTTGGGGGCACATGAGACGACCTGTACTCACTAGCACTGCTGTGTCTCGGCTCACCCGTGATCCTCTCCTCTAATACATATTTCCCCCCTTCTAGGCGTGTTTGCTCTCTTCTATGTCAGTAACCGGTTTCGGACTTTCCCCTTCTCCATCAAGGACCAGTGCGTAATTTTCTACAGTGGTGTCCGAGGAGCTGGCAGTTTTTCCCTTGCGTTTTTGCTTCCTCTGTCTCTTTTTCCTAGGAAGAAATTGTTTGTCACTGCAACTCTAGTCGTTATATATTTTACTGTATTTATTCAGGTTGGTAGATTTCCTTCCTATTTGAAATAAGTCTATTCTTCTCAGGATTGTGTGTTAAATTAATAAAATACCAAGACAGAGATACTGTTATCTGATTTTCAGATATGTGTTCAGTACTGAAACCAAATTCCCAAATATGTCTAGATCATGTTTTGGGTCATCCCATAAACTCTAAATTTTGATGACTTTTGAATAATAAAATCAAAATGTTCTAACATACAGGCGAATGATAGCACCTCTAATGTGTATTACTGAAAATAAGATTCCAGTTAGTACTAAATAGTTTTTATTTTAACTGGAATTAGTGCTTAGCAAACTAATGGGAGTTTATTTTAAAGAATGAAACTAGGTCCTTGGTTTAAAATATAGATATAATACCTGTTTGTATTGCAGAATTTAAAAACATTAAATAAGAACTAAAGTAAACACTGGAGCATTTATTCAGGAGACACTAGTACAAAAAAGACATAAAAATTGAGAGTCCCCATAGTTTTGCTAATAGATTTGTGGTCTCTACAGTGACAATCTTCTCTACAACAAAACCCTTTATTTTGTTGTTTACGACCTAGGGAATCACAATTGGCCCTCTGGTCAGGTATCTGGATGTTAGAAAGACCAATAAAAAAGAATCCATCAACGAAGAACTCCATACTCGTGTAAGTCATCTCTCGGTCATGATTAACAAGTTGGTAAGATGTCCCCTCTTGGTCGCCTCTGAGAGTTGATTTAGAAGTGTGGATATGTCACTAGACATGGTCTCTTTCCTCTCCAGCTCCACAGCAGTGTTGCTGTAGGAAATTGTCACAAACTCAGTTGCTTGAATCTTACAGTTATTATCTTATAGTTCTGGAAGTCGGAAGTTTACAGTAAGTCTCACTGGGATGAAATCAAGATCTTGCAGGACTGACTTTCTTTCTGAAGGTTCTAGGAAAGGGTCTGTTTTTTTCTAGATTTTTTTTCCCATATAGGTCATTATGGGCTTTCTTTGTGGCTCAGATGGTAAAGAATCTGCCTGCAATGCAGGACACCCAGGTTTGATCTCTGGGCCTGGAAGATCCCCTGGAGAAGGAAATGGCAACCCACTCCAGTATTCTTGCCTGGAGAATCCCAGGGACAGAGGAACCTGACATACTGCAGTCCATGGGGTCACAAAGAGTCAGACACAACTGAGCGACTGAACAACAAATGGCTCTGGGGAATAGAAATGGGAACTAATGCACGGAAGATGTACTGTGAGAAGCTTCAGCTCCTAATGAAGAGCATCTGGACAATGGTTTCTTGTACGGCACAGTCACAGGTGAAGTATGAGGGGTAACTGGGGACCCTCGGCACAGGTGCTGTCCAGGAGATTCAGGCTTTCAGCCACAGGCTTCGAGACCATTGACCCATATAATGTGTAGTTTTCTTTCATGTCTGAGAGTCCTTAACTCTGGTGCTGGAAAAACTGACAAAGTCAAAGTCAGAGCAGAATTTCATGGCCAAGGTCACCTACGGAAATCCAAATCAAAAATTTTCCAAGCCCATTTGGAAGTATTCAACAGCTGGAGATAAAGGAGTGAGTACTTTAAAAGAAGTATTCCTCTAAACACAGTGGAATACAGCCCGAGTGCTTTGGGCTTCCCCCAAAAAACTTTACCGGTTCAGTGGTAAAGAATCTGCCTGCCAATGTGGGAGACACAGATTCCATCCCTGGTCCTGGAAGACCCCACCTGCCTCAGAGTAACAAAGCCTGTGCTCTAGAGCTGGGAGCCACAACTACGAAAGCCTGCATGCCCTAGAGCCCGTGCTCTGCAACAAGAGAAGCCCCCACAATGAGAAGAACACACACTGCTACTAAAAATAGTGGCCCCGAATTGCCTCAGCTAGAGAAAAGTCCAGGTAGCAACCAAAACCCAGCATAGCCAACAATAAATAATAAATAAATAGAACTTTAAAAAAAAATTGTGCTTTAACCTGATTGAAGATTTTTGTCTCTATCTTGATCCCCTCTATTCATTATATTAAGAAATTAGATAGTATACCTAAAATAATAGAACCTGGATATTTCACCCCTTTCTTATTTATCTCTTTTTATCACAAAAGATATAATTATTGGTAGAGAGTACATAATTGTTTCAGAATTAATTATTTTCATCTACTTTCTCCCAAGAATTTAGAAGCCATGATAAACTTCACTGATTACAAACTTAGATTATTTGTAAATTAACAAATTATATAGAGATTGTGTTTTCCCCTAAATTCTTATAAGCAGTTGGGATGAAGCAAATGTAGTATAACTGGCGTGGATGGTGAAATGCAAATACTGAGACAAAAAGATCAGATAAGAACAGATATAATTCTGTCCTTATAATTTTGTTGCTTAGTCCTGTCTGGCTCCTTTTGCGACCCCATGGACTGTAGCCCACCAGGCTCCTCTGTCCATGGGATTTCCCAGGCAAGAATACTGGAGTAGGCTGCCATTTCCTTCTCCAGGAGATATTATAATAGAATATCCATAAAACTATATTTTTAGAAACTTAAAAAGGGACTGGCATTTTCTTTTCTTTTTGCAATGAAATTAGAGTGATAGTTATTAAACTTTATATCCATGTCATTTCAGTCATGAGAAACTTTCTTGATCATTATAGAAAGGTAATATTCATAGAAAAGCAAGTACCTTGTTTTCCTTGGAAGTTATGTACTTTATTGAAGAACTTATCTACAGAGCCTTTGAATTATGAAAGGCATTGGTGGCATTACTGGGAAAGGCATTGTAAGCTTCAGTTCTATCAGCAGAGTGATAGAAAAGAGGATATGAGCTAGGAAAGTAAAGCCTCCTTTGTTTTTCAGGGTGTGGTAGCTTTCCTTGGGTGTCCTGTAGGGCTAATGTGTCACTAGCAGTCATTTTTCTGTGTCTGTTGCCAGCTGATGGACCACCTGAAAGCTGGAGTCGAAGATGTGTGTGGGCAATGGAGCCACTACCAAGTCAGAGACAAGTAAGGACTGCGCTTTCAGCACCGAGGAGGGGTAGATGTGACGTGGGGAGCCTCGGAAGCTCCCCCTGGAAGCTGAGCATGAAGCTCGAAAGAGTCCCGAGGAAGGGAAGCAGGAAGACAAAGGGCCCAGGAGTCATGCGATGTAGGAAGCAGGAAGAAGTCCTGGGAAATGGACTCCCAGGGGGTGGAGGCAGTGAACTTGGAACTGAGGGCTTTAGAGGGAACCAGTACAACTTGCTTCCCAGGTGGCTCAGAGATAAAGGATCCACCTGCCAATGCAGGAGATGCGGGTTCGATCCCTGGCTCAGGAAGATTCCCTGGAGAAGGAAATGTCAACCCACTCCAGTATCCTTGCCTGGAGAATCCCATGGACAGAGGAGCCTGGCAGGCTACAGTCCATGGTGTACAAAGAGTTGGACAAGACTGAGTGACCGAGCCTGCATGGGGCATGTTGTAACATAGGCAAATGCATAAACTTTATAATAATGTGGGAGTGGGTTTGGAAAATAAATGAGGCAGAGAATGCAGAGAAGAATGCAAGCCTGCCAAGCATCAGCAATAGCAGTGTATTTCCATATGCAAAGGCAAGGGAGAGCATGTCCTGGTCTGGATATGGTCAGAGAGATGAGACAAGGTGAAAGATTGGAAAGACAAGGACGCACTTTTACAGTGCAGAGTCCAGCATCTTTGTACAGCCATTGATACTATAAAGTTCAATTTGACCATTAAAACTCATATCAAAAGGCTATTAAATAGGAGCATAGCCATACTTGGACTTTAGAAAGTACACTACACAACGATGTGGAAGCTGGATTAGAAAGAGAAAAATTAAATGGGGAGACACATAGCATTGGCATATATACACTACCATGTGTAAAACAGCTAGCTAGTGGGAAGCTGCTATACAGAATAGACAGCTTGGCTTGGTGCTCTGTGATGACCTAGAGGGTGGGATGCAGGTGTGGGAGGGAGGCTCAAGAGGGAGGGAATATATTTTACTATATAAATCATGAGTGTATTAATGCAATATTTTAAAGCAATTATACTCCAATAAAAAGAAAGAGAGGAATTATCTCTCATACCAGTTATCTCTCACATGATCTCCTTAACTGTCCTGTGTTGTCATTCTCACTCTAAAGATGAGAAAACCAACTCTGAGAAGTCAGTTAACCTGCCATACAGTGGAACCTGGGTGTGCGTTTAGGTCTCCTGTTTTCAATGAGCCACAGAGCTTCCAGACTAGTGAAGGTCAGGAATTAGCAGAAGGGATATTGAAATACTTCTAGGGGAGACTGTCCTATGTCCTATGTCCATAGGCTGGCTATGACATCAGAAAAGGAAGATGAAGCAAGGGAAAATGAGAATGGCCATCTGATCTGCAGATAGCGAGCAGAGGGAGGTAACAATGTCATGGTTAAGTTTATAGACTGTAGAAGAATGTTTAGAGTTAATAGCAGATTCTGCTTAAGTGTCTCATACTCACTCAACCCCTTTTGGAACTGAGTTTCAAGTTCAGGAGGAAATCGTGACTGGTGATAGAGATTGTGAATTGTCAGTATTTGGTGCCCAAAGCTGTGGATGTGGCTGAGATGACTGGGATCCTGGGAAGAGGGGAAGCTCCCTGAGGACAGGACTCGGAGAAGCTATCCTTGTTTTCCTTTTTCCTTTCCTCTGAGGCAGGAAAGGGAGAGGAAGGACAGAGGAGACTGGGAAGAAGTCATGAGAAAGGCTAGAAGGGAAGCAGGACATGCAGGGTTCATAGGAAGTGGCCACCAAGTCGTCCATCAGGTGGAGCCAGTGGCTAAATAGCACAAGGGCAGTAGCGACCACTGGTCTTGACCAGTACAAGGTCAAGGTGAGCCCAGGTTGAGGAACTCAGACAAGTCCTAGTAGTTGAGGGGCCAATGGCAATAGATTGAGGAATAAACAGAAACCATTGCTTCTCATGAAGAAGGCTGAGGGGTGACCCTGTTGGAGCCAGAGTGAGCCTGGTAAGAACCAAACACAGATCACAGAGCCCATGAATCAGAGCCTGCTCAACCCAGAAGAGCTTTGGCTGATTAAGAGTCCATTCACCCCACAGACCGGGAGACCAATCACCAGATGACATTCCAGCAACCCAGGAAATAAAGCAGCAGCCACATTACTCCTTGAATGGAAGATGACTGGAGGTGTTGAAAATTCCCCCTCTGAACAATTGGCTGACACTGAAGTCACCACCTTCTCTGTGTGGCTCAGTCTGATGGGTCAGCCCGAGCTTTGAGACAGTGGTGGCGGCCGTCAGCGGCCGGCGTATTCAGATGTGCCATCACTCATGGTATATGTGGGCTCTCTCACCAGCCCCCACCTAATTGGCAGGATTCAAAATGATCTGTAGCACAATGAGTGAAACTACTGTAACTACCAGGCTATTTAAACTTATGGGTTCTGGTTGAATAGGCCAGCATCGCTGTAAGTGCAGCTGCCACTGTTACCAGTTACTAGGATGGACCAACAAAAGGCCCGAACAACCCCTCCTTTCTTCTCCCACAATTGGAACTGAACTGGTCTCTCCCGCTTCCCATTTAATGCCTACTTTTTGCGCTGATTATAGCTTGTCCCTTCCTTTTGTTAGGTTGATTTTCAATGTATTCAGGCCATCTGGACATTCTTTCTTTATTTTAAAAAAATGTATGAATTCTATGATTTTAAAAAAATGCATTCAGAGTCATGAATTTCAGGCACTGTCCTGGTGTTTTTGAGAATAAACTTAAGTGGTAGTTTATTTCAAGAAAAGTATATATACTTACATAACATGTACAGAGATGGAAGATTTCCAAAATATTGGTTTTCATTTATAGGTTTAAGAAGTTTGATCATAAGTATTTACGGAAAATCCTCATCCGAAAGAATCTGCCAAAATCGAGCCTTGTTTCTTTGTACAAGAAGCTGGAAATGAAGCAAGCGATTGAGATGGTGGAGTCGGGGGTTCTAAGTTCTACAGCCTTTTCCATCCCCCATCAGTAAGTGACATTGCCCTTGATCTGGACTTTCAGTGTCAGAATTACAGAGAGCAATAGCTCCTGTTCTATTTAAAGGTAACCAACCCTAGGAGTGAAGAGGCAGAGAAATAACAAAGGAAAAATGAGATGAATAACATCTACATCTTGGCGCCTTGTAGCTTGGTCCATGCTCCATCTATTTCACCTAATTTCTGAAAAGTAATTTCTGGCAAAAAAAAAAGAGAGTTTTTTGACATCTTTCTTTGAGAGGGAGGGGTGAATGAGTTTATAGAATATTTTTAGCATGTTTTAGAAGTCTTTCTCTTCCTGGTTAGACATGTCTACCCTTTAAGCCCTGCTGATGTGCCTCTGCTAGTCTTACGTTGTCTTCTCCTATGAGTTGTCTCTTCCTGTCTTCTATGAAAGACCAGGTCCGCATCCTAGGATGCTAACTGGGACTGGGGGAGGAGGGGGTAGGAGCAAGAGCTGTGGCAATTGGTGGGATATTTAAAGAGAAGGCTGTGTTTGTAACTGTGTCTCAGGCAAAGATCTGTGGGAATTTGGGAGATGGCTTGAATCTATGTGAGACCATCTGTGAGCAGGAGCACAGAGGAGCCAGGGGACTTTAGGGAGTTGGTAAAGAGGCAGTGTAGGGAGGGGTAAGTCTGGTACATACTCCATCATTATGAGAGGATCCCCCTTGAAGCCTGGTGCTTCAGCCAGAGCACCTGGAAAGCTATAGTCCCAAGAGTTGGCTAGACATTTTTATAAAGCTGCTTTAAGCCTCTGAAGGAGGCTTCCCAAGTGATGCAGTGATAAAGAATCTGCCTGCTGATGCCGGAGACATGGGTTCAATCCCTGGGTAAGGAAGATACCCCGGAGAAGGAAATGGCAACCCACTGCAGTATTCTTGCCTGGCAAATCTCATGGACAGAGGAGCCTGGCCGGCTACAGTCCATCAGGTCGAAAAATGTGGGGCATGACTAAGCACACTGACATTGATCTGAATTTAATAAGGACCCCTTCGGTGTCATAAGAATTATTCCACCCCCTACCAAAGATGCCCAGTTTTCCTCCAAGAAACAGTGTACACATTGGGGGAAGTAGTCACAATGTGTATTTAGCATAAGTGACTCCAGCCTCTCCACCCTGGCATCTTTGGAAGATCATGAGTATCCATCTTCTCCTAACCTCCTCATGTTTGAAAAGCAGATTGAGACAAGAGATAAGAATAGACAGCAATCAACTTGTCACCAATGCTGGAGTGTTATATCTCACCCTTAGTTGCTAAGGAATCAGAAAAACCATCACCTTTCTTAAGTGGGAAAAATCCCAGTCTGGGAAAAAGATCTAAAGGAGCATCCCTGAGGGCATCTTGGTATAACAGAAAGCTTTCTGCCCTGTTTCTTGGTGAGACTGTTTTTGTGGTTGGTTGGTTGGTTGGTTTTACATGGCTTTAAGGAAAGTTCTGATCCTATAATGAGAGGATGCTGACAAGTATTAATTGGCAGTGCCATGATGAGCCATATGAGAGCCTGAGACAGGAAGAAAAGTGGGGGATATTGATCTTGTCTTTGTTTAAAATGTTGCTATTAATTATTTCATTCATCATTGATAAGTTTGCATTTACTTTTATTTTCTATAGCATTGCACTCAAATCCTACTTCACTTAATTCCTGAACTTTTGGGCATCCCCTTACCCAAGGTTTCCCTGGTGGCTCAGACAGTAAAGAATCTGCCTGCAATGCAGGAGACCTGAGTTTAATCCCTGGATCGGGAGGATCCCTTGGAGAAGGGAATGGCTGGCTACTCGCTCCAGTATTCTTGCCTGGAGAATCCCATGGACAGAGGAATCTGGTGGGCTATAGTCCATGGGGTCACAAAGAGTTGGACACAACTGAGCAATTAACACTTTCACTTTTTTCACTTTTAACGCTCAACAGGAGAGGTGCAGGCAGTTTAGACCAGGAACATCCTCAAACATCTACTCACTAGTGGTGTGAGGACTTGCCTGGGAATGTAGGGGTGCTTATCTCAAATGAGACCAATCTTGTGTGCCAAAACATATTTTAGATCTCTGTATTATTTTGTATTGCTCATAAGCAGGTGCTGCTACTGCTGCTGCTGCTGCTGCTAAGTCGCTTCAGTCGAGTCCGATTCTGCACGACCCCATAGACAGCAGCCCACCAGGCTCCCCCATCCCTGGGATCCTCCAGGCAAGAACACTGGAGTGGGTTGTCATTGCCTTCTCCAATGCATGAAAGTGAAAAGTGAAAGTGAAGTCACTCAGTCGTGTCCGACTCCTAGCGACCCCATGGACTGTAGCCCACCAGGCTCCCCTGTCCATGGGATTTTCCAGGCAAGAGTACTGGAATGGGTTGCCATTGCCTTCTCCCCACAAGCAGGTGACCTCAAGGCAAATTTTAATCCAGTTTCATTTGGAGGCTGTGTTTGGTTTGAGTCAGTTATTTTTCCGACGTTTGAGATTAGTAAGAGAGCCTTATAGCTTAGAGATACCCACTTCTGTAGCCCAAACTAGTTAGTTAACCGAGGTGGGAGAGGTTTTTAAAAATCGATATTTACTACAAGTCTAGTATTTAAATTGCCTTCATTTGATCTCATCAGAAATCTGTAGGACATCAAGCAAAGAGGAATTCCTCTCCTAAGATCAAAGCAGCTAATTTCTTAAAAAACAAACCTTCATACAATAATAGGAAAAAGAAGTGTGTACTCAGCTCGCTTTTTGTGATTCTCTACGAGAGGATAACAACAAGACGCGCACATATTTTTTTTCTTTAGAAGTTGAAGCAATTGTTCTACAAGAGGTTAAGATTTCCAAACTCGGTGACCTTCAGGAGAACACTACCCCGGAAGTTGTCTATGGCACGCTATAGACGATGCTGATTCTAGGGAATTCCGTTACTTTTACATGCATTATTTTATTTAACTCTCAAAACAACTCTGTGGAGTAGACAAAGTATGTATTTGGATTATTATTCTAAATATGAGATACCTTGCTTTACCCATGAGCTGTAAGCTCTCAGAAACATTAGTGGGTGGAGGCTCAAGCTGATTAAAAAATATTTGGTTGCTATTAAAGTGCTAGTGGTAAAGAATCCTCTTGCCAGTGCAGGAGACATAAGAGACTAGTTCGATCTCAGGGTCAGGAAGATCCCCTGGAGGAGGGCATGGCAACCCACTCCAGTATTCTTGCCTGGAGAATCCCATAGCCAGAGGAGCCTGGCGGGCTGTAGTCCATGGGGTCACAAAGAGTCAGACATGACTGAAACAACTCAGCAACAAAGAGATATTAAAATATTTATAATAAATGCATAGGCATAACACACTACAGCTATACAACTTCAGGATATTGTCTTTAAAAACTCCCCAATACTTATGAGGTCATTTATAAAAAAGCACATTTTGGTTGATTATAGCTAAAGAATTTTTCAATTGATCACATATTGTCAGGTATAGGTTTACAGTCATGCATGCTGACACCAGAGACTCTAGAATGAAGATTCTCATGCTGTGTTTCCTTCTGTGCTGGGATATTGTCTTGTGGGGAGCCAGGGCCACAATTCTGCAGTCTTTACTCATCCTCAGTGATGGTCACTTGGGTGACCTTTCTAAGAAGAAACAAGGCAGCCACACAAAGAGCAGAGCTGTTGGTACCATTGTTTTCAGTGGGCACGTCCTTTAGTCAACATAAGTTTTCCAGGATTTCATGTATAAAGCTACTAAAGGAGCATGGATTCTTCCAGATAAATCCAGATATATTTGATCTTTTGCGACTTCAGACTATGGCAGGAATATAACATCTACTAGATTTCATACCTATATTGCTGTGTTTAGAATTGAGACCTCCTTTTAAAAATAACTATTTATTTATTGTTTCTTTTGACCACTCTGGGTCTTCCTTGCTGTGAGGGCTTCTCTCTAGTTGTGGAGACCAGGGGCTACTCCCCAGCTGTGGTGCTCCTCATTGCACTGGCTTCTCTTGCTGTGGAGCACCGGCTCTCGTGCATGCAGGCTTCAGTACTTGTGGCACACGGACTTAGCTGCTCCATGGCATGTGAGATCTTCCAGGACCAGGAATTGAACCCGTGTCCCCTGCATTAGCAGGCAGATTCTTAACTACTGAACTACCAGGGAAATCCTGAAAATTCTTTTTACATTATTAGAGCCTCTGATTTTTTAAAAAAGATTAAGAGAAATCTGGATCTTTTATTTAAATACATTTACATCCTAATGTTCCCAATTTGATCTTAATGGCCATGAAATTACCAGTGACCTTTTCTTTAAGGTGTTCAAGACTTCCTTTACATCTTGTTCCAGTGCCAAGAGTCTTTTAGTTTATAATTTTACTTTTTTGACTTAGAGATTACTAACATTCAATTTTTCTATGGTTTTTATCTTCAGTGCTCACAATATGATCATTTCAGGGGTGATTTTGCTAATGAAGTAGCAGGTAGGAAAATGTTTGCATCACCTTGCTTGGGTCAGTAATTCTTCCTTATAATTTTATAGCTACAGCTTCTCAGTGTGGATTAATACGAGGCAGTGCCTCTGGGACCCCTGCATTAGATATCCAGCCAGCAACCTAAATGGGCTTTAACTCAACCTGGTCCTTCCCAAATGGTTAATTATAAACTGGGGAGAATGCCGAATTAGATCTCCTGTCTCTGGTTTAACTTGATCATTTCCTTTACCCATGGTTTTTCCCTCTTTGGTCAGAAAGTGGAACTCTTTGATTAGCTGTAGTTTCTGTTTAGCGATAGAGTCCTTCCACCATAATAAAGGAATGCATGCAGATGTGGATTGCGGGAACTCGTGGGTGTATCTACATCAGAATGAATTTTGTTTGAAGGACATTTAAATAGTTAGGTTGAAATAGCCTGATAATATTGTTTAAATCACTGAGGGTGGTAACTGAATATCAATACTGTTGACATTTTCAGCTCTGAGATATAGAAACTGATTTCACTGATTTTGTAGAAAGGGTATTAGCCATGGCAGATTGTATTGCTAAGTAAGTCCTGTGATTTTTCAGGATTCAAATGCTTGAAATTCTTTAACCAGTTGTCCATTACTTACAAAATATCTTTGCTATTTATTGGCAATGACGCTACTGTTTGAGGGGAAAAAGACTTAAAAAGTGGCCTGTATTGAAACCAGTAACTACTTGCCGTCTTTACAATCAATTATCCTAAGACCTTTAGAAGCAGGTAATAAAGAATCCACCTGCCTATGCAAGGGATGCAGGTTTGATCCCTGGGTTGGGAAGATCCCCTGGAGAAGGAAATGACAACCCACTCCAATATTCTTGCCTGGGAAATTCCATGGACAGAGGAGCCTGGCGGGCTGCAGTCCATGAGGCCTCAGAGTCGGACACAGCTGGACACACGTGGAAAATAGTCAATCAGCACACGTGTGCATTACAAAAACTGCAGCTAGAAAAGAAAAAAAAACGCAACTCCTTAAGGGTTTATACCAAGATGTCAAGGGAGGTGACAGTATTAAAAGATAGGTTTAATTTTCCTTAGTTCTCTCTTTTTTTGTTCATATGCTCCACAGTGAGCATATATTATTCATACAGTTAAGTTTTTAGGAATTACAACCACTAGACCCAAGTGATTGAAATTGAATATGTATGTCACATGAGAATTCTGCACATAGCGATGTCATGACTGAGAACCTCTGAGGACAATTGTGCATTGTTGGCTAACCTGGCCTTGACTTGGCTTTTGAGCCCATTTAGGAGGGAGTCGGGGGTGGAGGTGCTTATGGTCAAGAAGGCCAGAAGAAGTCAACTGCTTCTAGAATCTCAGAGGGTCCAGTGTCTCCAAGCTGGGCTGGTTTTCCTGGTGGAGGTTGAGATAGTTTAACTCTCTTTGTAAAGTATGATTTTAGTTTCTTCCCATTATTCTTTAACCAGAGATAAAATCCCCAAAGAGAGAATTCCAAGATAAATGTACTCAAAGTTTTAATACTGGATAGGTTGTTGTTGTTTAGTTGCTAAGTCATGTCCAACTCTTTGCAACCTGGGGCCTGTCAGGCTCCTTTGTCCACGGAATTACCCAGGCAAGAATACTGGAGTGGGTTGCCATTCCTTTCTCTAGGGGATATTTCCAACCCTGGGTTCGAACCTGTGTCTTCTGCATTGGCAGGCAGAGTCTTTACCACTGAACTACCTGGGAAGCATAAACTACTGGTATTCCAAATGTGGTGACTACATGGTGCTATCTGTGAGCCTTCAAGGAATAAGCTTATTTGTGTTGACTCTAACAGTGAATTATTTGATTTACACTTTATGGTATCCTTTCTAAGAATGTATTTTCTAATCATTGATTTTTTTAAAAAAAACATGTCTGTTCATAATAGATATGGAGGAAAAAATTACTGGTTTGTCACCACCACTTTTTATTTTTTATTTTTTTTAAGTTCTAAATTGGTTTTTTTTTTCATTTATTTTTATTAGTTGGAGGCTAATTACTTTACAATATTGTAGTGGTTTTGCCATACATTGACATGAATCAGCCATGAATTTACATGTGTTCCCCATCCTGATCCCCCCTCCTGCCTCCCTCCCCATCCCATCCCTCTGGGTCTTCCCAGTGTACCAGCCCTGAGCACTAATCTCATGCATCCAACCTAGGCTGGTGATCTGTTTCACCCTTGATAGTATACTTGATTCAATGCTATTCTCTCAGAACATCTCACCTTGCCTTCTCCCACGGAGTCCAAAAGTCTGTTCTGTACATCTGTGTCTCTTTTTCTGTTTTGCATATAGTGTTATCATTACCGTCTTTTAAAATTCCATACATATGTGTTAGTATACTGTATTGGTCTTTATCTTTCTGGCTTACTTCACTCTGTATAATGGGCTCCAGTTTCATCCATCTCATTAGAACTGATTCAAATGAATTCTTTTTAATGGCTGAGTAATATTCCATTGTGTATATGTACCATAGCTTCCTTATCCATTCATCTGCTGATGGGCATCTAGGTTGCTTCCATGTCCTGGCTATTATAAACAGTGCTGCAATGAACATTGGGGTGCACGTGTCTCTTTCAGATCTAGTTTCCTTGGTGTGTATGCCCAGGAGTGGGATTGCTGGGTTGTATGGCAGTTCTATTTCCAGTTTTTTAAGGAATCTCCACACTGTTCTCCATAGTGGGTGTACTAGTTTGCATTCCCACCAATAGTGTAAGAGGGTTCCCTTTTCTCCACACCCTCTCCAGCATTTATTTCTTGTATACTTTTGGATAGCAGCCATCCTGACTGGCGTATAATGGTACCTCATTGTGGTTTTGATTTGCATTTCTCTGATAATGAGTGATGTTGAGCATATTTTCATGTGTTTGTTAGCCATCTATATGTCTTCTTTGGAGAAATGTCTGTTTAGTTCTTTGGCCCATTTTTTGATTGGGTCATTTATTTTTCTGGAATTGAGCTGGAGGAGTTGCTTGTATATTTTTGAGATTAGTCCTTTGTTTGTTGCTTCATTTGCTATTATTTTCTCCATTCTGAGGGCTGTCTTTTCACCTTGCTTATAGTTTCTTTTGTTGTGCAAAAGCTTTTAAGTTTCATTAGGTCCCATTTGTGTATTTTTGCTTTTATTTCCAATATTCTGGGAGGTGGGTCATAGAGGATCCTGCTGTGATTCATGTCGGAGAGTGTTTTGCCTATGTTCTCCTCTAGAAGTTTTATAGTTTCTGGTCTTACATTTAGATCTTTAATCCATTTTGAGTTTATTTTTGTGTATGGTGTTAGTAAGTGTTCTAGTTTCATTCTTTTACAGGTGGTTGACCAGTTTTCCCAGCACCACTTGTTAAAGAGGTTGTCTTTTTTCCATTGTATATCCTTGCCTCCTTTGTCAAAGATAAGGTGACCATAGGTTCGTGGATTTATCTCTGGGCTTTCTATTCTGTTCCATTGATCTATATTTCTGTCTTTGTACCAGTACCATACTGTCTTGATGACTGTGGCTTTGTAGTAGAGCCTGAAGTCAGGCAGGTTGATTCCTCCAGTTCCCTTCTTCTTTCTCAAGATTGCTTTGGCTATTCGAGGTTTTTTGTATTTCCATACAAATTGTGAAATTATTTGTTCTAGTTTTGTGAAGAATACCATTGGTAGCTTGATAGGGATTGCATTGAATCTATAGATTGCTTTGCTTAGTATACTCATTTTCACGATATTGATTCTTCCAATCCATGAACACAGTATATTTCTCCATCTATTTGTGTCCTCTGATTTCTCTTTTTTTTTTTCTTCTGGTCTGACCTCTTTGATTTCTTTCATCACTGTTTTATAGTTTTCTATATATAGGTCTTTCGTTTCTTTAGATAGATGTCCTCCTAAGTATTTTATTCTTTTTGTTGCAATGGTGAATGGTATTGTTTCCTTAATTTCTCTTTCTGTTTTCTCATTGTTAGTGTATAGGAATGCAAGGGATTTCTGTGTGTTAATTTTATATCCTGCAACATTACTGTATTCATTGATTAGCTTTAATAATTTTCTGGTAGAGTCTTTAGGGTTTTCTATGTAGAGGATCATGTCATCTGCAAATTGTGAGAGTTTTACTTCTGCTTTTCCTGTCTGGCTTCCTTTTATTTCTTTTTCTGCTCTGATGGCTGTGGTCAAAACTTCAAAAACTATGTTGAATAGTAGTGGTGAGATTGGGCACCCTTGTCTTGTTCCTGACTTTAAGGGAAATGCTTTCAATTTTTCATCACTGAAGATGTTTGCTGTGGGTTTGTCATATATAGCTTTTATTATGTTGAGGTATGTTCCTTCTATTCCTGCTTTCTGGAGAGTTTTAATCATAAATGGATGTTGAATTTTGTCAAAGGCTTTTTCTGCATCTATTGAGATAATCATATGGTTTTTATCTTTCAATTTGTTAATGTGGTGTATTACATTGATTGATTTGTGGATATTAAAGAATCCTTGCATTCCTGGGATAAAGCCCACTTGGTCATGATGTATGATCTTTTTAATATGTTGTTGGATTCTGTTTGCTAGAATTTTGTTAAGGATTTTTGCATCTATGTTCATCAGTGATATTGGCCTGTAGTTTTCTTTTTTTGTGGCATCTTTGTCTGGTTTTGGTATTAGGGTGATTCACCACCACTTTTTAAAAATGCATTAGACAGTGGAGGGACAACTACAAAATTCTCAGACTTGATTACTTCTGAAATGTTCAGGGAGAGACAAAGAGGAGGAAAAACTAATTACTCATAATGTTCTGTTTCTATGGTGGATATGTGCATACTTTATTATTATATTATTCTTTACACCTTACATATAGTAGATATTTTTTATGGGCAAAAATATTTTGTAAGACTTTAAAATAGGAAATTTATATTGTTAATGTAAATAAGTGGTTTGATATGCTGGTAGTAATTTTTCCTAATGAACATTGAAATAAAAACAAGCCTATTAAAATTTTCTCATATAATTATCATAGAAAAGTTATAGACAAAGAAGCCATATGTTCAAAATGCAAGACAAGACACATGTGCCAATATTTTCTATGAATTTCCTAAAACAATAGGAAAGCCTATGGAAAAACAGGAGTTCTGGGTATTGAAACTCCTAAAAGTAAATTGATGGTTTTATGGTTGTCTTGCCAAGATGAAAGAATAATGCTTCGCTTCCCTCCAATGATGTTTCCAGGGCCCAGAGGACACAAGAAACCAAAAGACTTTCCCCTGAAGACGTGGAGTCCATGAGGGACATTCTGACACGCAACATGTACCAAGTTCGACAAAGGGTGTGTATATAAGACTTGTCCCTGCTGCTATTCTTGGAACCAGTCCTCCAGACATCAGTTCTTGTTCAGGTTACCCTTCCCAAGCAGCCTTCCTGCTGAGCAATTTCTCTCTGCTTAGTTAGGAAAACAGAAAGTTAACTGTTGTGTTTCTGCAGCAAAATTGGCCCCCATGGTAGAAAGAGAAATGCAGATCTAGTTGCTGGCCCTAGGGGCCAGGCTGCCCCAGCCCTGCAGACCTGGCTTTCCAGAATCAGCAGGGCTCCCTCCCCCTTCAGAGTCAGACCCATGATGGAGCTTGTCCACCAGGGAAGAAATATGGCCCCAGGATGCCAGTGGGGACAGAGCTGTCTCAGCATGATTGGTTGTAATAGAGTTTAGAAAACTGGAATGGTTTAGATTAGAATATCAAAACCACAGTGCTGAAAGCCTGAGGAAAAAATGGGAGACATATCAGGGACTTCCCTGGCAGTGGTTAAGACACCAAGTTTCTAAGGCATGGGTTCAACCCCTGGTCTGGGAACTAAGATCCACATGCCACTTGTCCAATACACACACACACACACATACATATATATATGTAATTTTTTTTCCTCCGCAAAAAAGAGACCTATCAAGCATACTATTTATCAGTTTTGGAAAAGGTATAGAGGCTATTCAGGTGAGTTCTTTTGAAATTTTGATTTAATCAAATGACATTTATACTAATGTTTTCTAGTTAAGAGCTATTTAAGGTTGAGTATTCAGTGGAGCATCCCAATTATTGAGTAGGGTTATAAGTGAGTTTACTGCTAGGCCCTTGGTTTTTGTGACTATGTCATGGGATCTCCCAAAATCATTCAGTCACAGTTACTCATTTTCAAGCAAAAGATACTGAGGTTAGAAGATTTGCATTTTTTTTTTCTGTTATCATCATGTCTGACTCTTTGTGACCCCATGGACTCTAGCCTACCAGGCTTCTCTGTCCATGGGATTTTCCAGGCTAGACTACTGGAGTGGGTTGCCATTTTCCTCTCCAGGGGGTCTTCCCAACCCAGGGCTCAAACCCAAATCTTCTGCATTGGCTGGCGGGTTCTTTACCACTGAACCACCCAGGAAGCCCTAGGAGAGTTATCTCACTTGTTTAAGGTCACAAAAAAAATTTGAGTTAAGAACCCAGGTCTTCCAACTGCCTAGCCACGGCTCTTTCCATGACTTCAGAATTACATGATCCAGGGTAGGTGAATGTCTTCTGGCTGCTGTTTTGAGAAAGTCAGTGGTCAAGGGGAATGTGTCAACAAAAGGCCCTGCACCTGCTGGAGGAACATGGGTCAGCAGCAAATAACACACGTCTAGTAAACACAGCAACTTTCAAATCTTTCCAAGTTAAACTATTTCAGCAAGACTATCACATTCTGCCTTAGATAAGTAGGTAAGAACTTCCTGGTTGAAAGAACACCAGCCTGCTTAGGGAGGGTCACAGCCCAAGGGTGCCTGGTACTGAGACTTTCCCCATGGAGGTGGAGAGTGAGGTTAGGGAAAGTCCTCAGTTGGTAAAGAATCTGCCTGCAATGCAGGAGACCCCAGTTCGATTCCTGGGTCGGGAAGATCCGCTGGAGAAGGGAATGGTTACCCACTCCAGTATTCTTGGGCTTCTCTTGTGGCTCAGCTGGTAAAGAATCTGCCTGCAATGCAGGAGACCTGGGTTTGATCCTTGGGTTGGGAAGATACCCTGAGGAGGAGAAAGGCTACCCATCCCAGTTTTCCGGTCTGAAGAATTCCATGGACTGTATAGTCCATGGGGTCGCAAAGAGTCGGACACAACTGAGTGACTTTCACTCACTCACTCAGAAATAAGAGAGATACTGGAACTCCAACCCACTGTAAAATGAGGCTAACTGTCCATTGTCTCTTTTCTTATCAGGTTCCTAGATAGTCATCTTTCTTCTTTTATCAGCGCCCATTCAGTCTGCCTCCAGGTTCCTCCCTTCTAAGCTTTGTAGAATCTCCCTTCCTGGTTGCCCGAGATGAGTGGATAGGTGATAGAGTCCTGTGGGGAGAACATACATGGTAAACCAAGGGGCTCTACCGGAGACGACTTTTACTTCCACTTTCGTTACATGAGAGAATGAGACTCACCTGTCCTGCCCTTTCTGTCTTTCCTTTCTCATCCCATCTGTTTTTTTTTTTTAATGTCATAATATATTTTATTTAACCCACTTTATGAGCTAATGGTAAAAGAACCTGCCTGCCAATGCAGGAGACATAAGAGACACAGGTTCTATCCCTGAGTTGGAGAGACCACCTGGAGGAGGGCATGGCAACCCACTCCCGTATTTTTGCCTGGAGAATCACATGAACCTGGAAGTCTACAGTCCATGGGGTCACAAAGAGTCAGACATGACTAAAGTGACTTAGCACACATGCATGGGCACACATCAAAAATATTTCAATGTGTCATAAATATAAAAATTACCAATAAGATATTTTCTACTCTTTAAAAAAAATTAATGTCTTCAGAATCAGTATGTAGCTAATACACTGCAGTTGGAATTAGCCACATTTTTTTCCTTAAAGTCTCCTTTATTTTTTTCTTCTTTTTAAAAAATCTTGTTTTTTATTTGTGTCATTGATTAATGATGTGTTAGTTTTACGTGTACAGCACGGTGATTCAGTTATACATCTATATGTGTCAATTCTTTTTCAGATTCTTTTCCCCTTTAGCTTTTGACAGAATACTGAGCAGAGTTCCAAGAGCTATCCTGGTTGGTTATCATCCTGTCTTGACATAGGTCATGTGACTCCTTCCTCCACCACGGTTCTCCTGTTCTCTTGGAGGAAAATTCAAGGATGCAGTTCAGGACAACCGTCTGTCTACTTCATTGCTTGTGGAAGACCATTAGCAACACTGACCATTCCACAGTGCTGAGGATGGTCACAAAGGTGGCATCTGTAGTTGGGCATCTGTACCTCCGGGAGGACCACTATGAGGGTTGCAGGATGACAGCACAGTGGATGCCACTGCCCCTGTGAGCCAGAGGCACGGGCTCCATCCGCAGCTCTGTCCTGGTGGGCTGGCCCAGATCGCAGACCTTTCCTCCAGAGCGGCAGATTGCATCTCTGCAATGGAGGCAAAGGCTCAGGGGGCCTGGGTGTCACCTTCTCCTTCTACTAATCATTTTTTAAAATATTTATTTATTTGGGTGCACCAGATCTTAGTTGTGGCACACAGGATCTTCTGTCTTCATCACTTTCGTCTTGCAGGATCTTTAGTGGCAGCAAGTGGACTCTTAGTTGCCTCATGTGATATCTGGTTCCCTGACCAGGGATGGAACCTGGGTCCCCTGCATTGGCAGCCTGGAGCCTTAGCTTCTGCACCACCAGGGGAGTCCCTCTACTAGTTTTTGTTTGTGACTTTCCCGTGGTCTCCAGAGGCTGGAAGACATGCCTGATGTCCCCTTCTTTCTGCAGACCTTGTCCTACAACAAATACAACCTCCAGCCCCAGACGAGCGAGAAGCAGGCGAAGGAGATTCTGATCCGCCGTCGGAACACCTTCAGGGAGAGCATGAAGAAAGGGCACAGCCTGCCCTGGGGAAAGCCGGTAAGGGGCAGATGCCAACTCACCCTGAGCTGGGCCAGTCTCCGACCGGGGCCTCCTCAGGTGACTCCTTTCACTGTTTAAACAAACAACCACTCCCTTGGTGCCAGGGTAAGACAAAGCGAAGGGGGTATGGGACAGCAGACACCCCCTTCTCTGAGCCCAGGGCTTTTGGGCCCAAGCTCCAACTCACACTAACATGAGGCTAACTGTCCATTGTCTGTTTTTGATCAGGTTCCTAGGGGGCCTTTGGGGCCCAAACTGTCCCCAGGGTGGTTGTTGTTTGGTCAGTCAGTTGTGTCCAACTCTGCGACCCTATGAAATGTAGCTCACCAGGCTCCTCTGTCCATGGAATTCTCCAGGCAAGAATACTGGAGTGGGTTGCCATTTCCTTCTCCAGGGGATCTTCCCGACGTAGAGATCAAACCCAGGTCTCCTGCATTGACAGGCGGCTTCCTTCCCACTGAGCCACCTGGAAGTCCATGGGGTACGTGGCAGCAAACTGCACCTGCTCAGGATGGGCCAGTGACTGGGACATACTCCCTGGACTGTGAGGCTAGGCGAACTCCCATGGTGGCCAGAGACTGGACTCCAGGGGACCCCGATGGACAGGTTCCCTGGCTGCTCTGGGAAGCTTGCTTCTCTACCAGGGAGATACAGGGAGGAGTTTGTTCTTGCCAAGATTCTTGGAGCTTATCTTCATGGCACCAGCTGTGTGTCTCAACTGCTCCTTTTGAGGCCACATCTGGGGCTTCCCAGGTGGCTCATCGGTAAAGAATTTGCCTGCAATGCAAGAGACACAGGAGATGCGGGCTCGATCCCTGGATCAGGAAGACCCCCTGGAGAAGGGCATGGCAACCCACTCCAGTATTCTTGCCTGAGAAATCCCATGGACAGAGGAGCCTGGCAGGCTACAGTCCATGGAGTCGCAAAGAGTTGGACACAACTGAGCACACACCAGGCAATCTTATAAGGAGACGCTGGATGGATGGACGTTGAGTCTGGAGTAGCCCCTAATCTCTACCCTAATCCCAGTGGGGCCACAGGAGGAACTTGGAGAGGTTTATCATGATGTGTTTCATCAGGAGAGGGAAGGAGGAAATATTGAAGGTGGAAGCATTGTTTTTCTTAAACCAAAGTAACTGAAAGGCAGTGATGCAAACAGGATGCTCCATTGTGACTCTGTCCTTCTCCTTGTTTGCCATGTGACACCCTCAGTTACAAGGTCTAACTCTTCTTTTTATTTCTCCTTGTTGCCCGCAGGCTGGTACCAAGAACATCCGCTACCTCTCCTTCCCCTATAGCAACCCTCTGCCAGCAGGCAGAGACGTGAAGATGGCTGAATTCACAGGTAACTTGCATCCATGGCTGCTTCTCATTATTTTCAGCCTTGTAGGTCAAAAGGCAAAATCAAGAATATTACATAAGTACACATATGACGAGCAAAAGAGAACACAATTGTCGTTATTCAGTAGCTAACTCATGACTCTTTGCCCATGGCCTGCAGCACTCCAGGCTTCCTGTCTTCACCATCTCCAGGAGTTTGCTCAAACTCATGTCCATTGAGTCAGTGCTGCTATCCAACCATCGCATCCTCTGTCGTCCCCTTCTCCTCCTGTCCTCAGTCTTTCCCAGCATCAGGGTCTTTTCCAGTGAGTTGGCCCTTAGCATAAGGTGACCAAAGTATTGAAGCTTCAGCTTCAGTGTTAGTCTTTCCAATGAATATTCAGAGTTGATTTCCTTTAGGTTTGACTGGCTTATCTCCTTTCAGTCTAAGGGACTCTCAAGAGTTTTCTCTAGTACCACAGTTCAAAAGCATCAGTTCTCCAGCACTCAGCCTTCTTTATGGTCCAACTCTCATATCCATACATGACTACTGGAAAAGTCATAGCTTTATTAATTGAATTAATAACTTTAGTGATAAACAGTGAAATTTGTATAATTTTTACTTATCAAGAAATATTCTTAAAATTTTTTTTCAGCCATTTAGAAATGTAACAACCCATCTCAGCTCAGGAGCCGTTCCAAAAGATACAGCAGGGTGATATACCTGGTGGTTATCAATTGCTGACCTCTGACTTAGAGAAACATAAAATGGGCACTTTTTTGAAGTTATAGGATTCACCTATGGTTTATAAATTAGAAGAATTCTCCAAAGTTGGCTAAATTTTACTAAAATACTTTAACTAAATTTACTGGTTGGATGTTTCCCATTTAATATCTAATGCATGCTCAGTCGTGTCTGACTCTTTGTGACCCTATGGGCCGTAGCCACCAGGCTCCTCTGTCCATGGGATTCTCCAGGGAAGGATACTGGAGTGGGTTGCCATGACCACCTCCAGGGGATCTTCCCAACTCAGGGATCGAACCAGCGTCTCATGCATCTCTGCATTGCAGGCGGATTCTTTACCACTGAGCCACCGAGGAAGCCCTTAATATTTAATACTTAAATAGAATTTTAGAATTATTGAAACTGCCTATTGTGCTCATAAAAGCTAAGTTATTTTTAAATGTATATAAATTGATTTTCTATTAGCATAAAGTGACATATGATATGCCATGTTCTCTGTTTCAATATTACAAAATTTTTAAGACTAAAAATCACATTGGAAATTTAAATAAATTAAACACTCAGGATTTGAGAATTAAACATTTGAAGAATGAGTATAATTATTCCTTACAATGAAACTTTTTCTGATATAAAAGTGTGTTTGATATAAAGTCAAAATCAACCAGCAAAGAAAAGCATAAAAAAAGAAAGTTGAAAGCACTTGAAACTCCACCACCCAGAGATATTCACTGTAGAGTATTTTGGTAAGCATCCTTCTATAATTCTATCTACATCATTCTGATCCTTATCCTACCAGAACCTGCTTTTTTTTAAAAATCACACATAGCACTACATGATACATTGTCACAGTATAGTCATTGTTGGGGAATTTTTATAAATTGTCCAGTTCACTCAGCCGTATGTTGTGGAAACATTTTGATGTCAATAGATAGGAACCTAGTAATCATTTTAATGATTTAATGATAGTCAATTATATGAGAGCCCCATGGGCTTCTCAGATGGCACTGTGCTAAGGAATCTACCTGCCAATGCAAGTTGGATCCCTGGATTAGGAAGATCCCTTGGAGGAGGAAATGGCAACCCACTCCAGTATTCTTGCCTGGGAAATCCCAAGGACAGAGGAGCCTGGTGGGCTATTATCATAGGCTCACAAATACTCAGACAGGACTAAGCAACTGACCTTGCCTGAAGAGAGTTTTGGACTCTTAATTCTGGTTCATTGATCTAGTCATCTATTCCCAGGTCACACTCTTGTAAGTAGTAGTATTTTATGATAAAAAGAGCTATCACACAAAAGCAAACAAGCAAAACAAAACAAAATAACACCAGTAATAGGGTGTATAATAGTTTAATTTTTAAAACTCTTCCAGGTACAAACAGCTGGTGCTGTTAGGTTGCTTGAGTGATAGACAGCCTGACAGTCTCCAGTCATTTCTTGAGATGAATGTCAATATCACAAGCTATGGTAGCAGCTTCAACTCAGTTCAGTTCAGTTCAGTTCAGTTCAGTCACTCAGTCGTGTCCAACTCTTTGCGACCCCATGAATCGCAGCACGCCAGGCCTCCCTGTCCATCACCAATTCCCGGAGTTTACTCAAACTCATGCCCATCGAGTAGGTGATGCCATCCAGCCATCTCATCCTCTGTCATCCCCTTCTCCTCCTGGCCCCAATCGCTCCCAGCATCAGGGTCTTTTCCAATGAGTCAGCTCTTCGCATGAGGTGGCCAAAGTATTGGAGTTTCAGCTTCAGCATCAGTCCTTCCAATGAACACCCAGGACTGATTTCCTTTAGGATGGACTGATTGGATCTCCTTGCAGTCCAAGGGACTGTCAAGAGTCTTCTCCAACACCACAGTTCAAAAGCATCAATTCTTCGGTGCTCAGCTTTCTTCACAGTCCAACTCTCACATCCATACATGACCACCGGAGAAACCATAGCCTTGACCAGACGGACCTTTGTTGGCAACTTCAACTACTAATGTAGTAGCTTCAACTACTAATGTACAAATCTTAAATAGTCTTATAAATAAAATAACAGCAGAATATTAAAGACTTAGTATACCTTACAAAATAGGACTTATCCCAGAGGTGGGGTTTGTTTAACATTTGGAAATGCATTTGTATTATTCACCAGGTAAATAGGTCTAACGGCCCTTTCAATAGATGCCCTAAAAGACATCTCACATATCTTTCAATAAAAATGTCAAAGTCCTAGGAAAATATATATAGGACTTACATGAAGAAGCATAAAACTCTACTTTTCCATGCTTCAGTACCTCTTTGTAAAAAGGAGAATGTTGGTACTCCCCCACAGAGAAAAGTGTTTGAAGCCATTTAGCACAGATGAAACTCTTAGAACAATGCCTGCAACCAAGTAAGTATGCAAGAAATATCCATGCTTCTGCTCAGTCGTGTCCGACTCTTTGAGACCCAATGAACTGTAACCTGCCAGGCTTCTCTGTCTGTGGGATTCTCCAGGCAAGAATACTGGAGTGGGTTGCCATGCCCTTCTTCAGGGGATCTTCCCAACCCAGGGATTGAATCAGGTCTCCTGCACTGACAGGCACGTTCTTTACTGTCTGAGCCACCAGAGAAATGCCTCTAAATTTTGTTAGGTGAGCAAAAAGAGTGGGTAACCCAGAAATCTGAGAAGGAAAAGTAGTGAAGTGGGCCTTAATTTTATCAGGTTTCCTTAATTTTTAGAGAATTGTAATCAAATGTCAGATAATAGATATTTGAGATAATGCTCTATCTGTATCTGGGCACAATTGTTTGCACCCACCTTCTGCCCACATCTGAAGTTGTTACCCCACAGGACAAGGTCAGCAAATGCCCATCAGGGCTCTAGGGGAGGGTGTGGAGGGAGGTAGGGCATTCAGCAGATGGTCCCCTGGTGTCCCCACAGCTCACTGGGCTGTGACGTGGGTATCACTGTCCCTCCTTGCTCAGCCCTTGTCTTCCTGGGTTAGGACACCCCTTCCCTAGATATGTGGGAACTTCCTGCTGGATTGAGGCCTACATATAACTTCCGAGGCTCTTTCACCTCTGGGGCTCACTTGGTGGTAAAAATAGAGAGGTCCTGCCTGGACACCCCTCCTAAATCCCAGGAAGACTGGGACAGAGGGAGCAAGCTCTGTGGATGGACCGTGGCAGTGGGTGCCCAGCCATGTGACTTTACCTGATGCCACAGGTGAGTGGAGGAGCTGAAACACCAGCAGGACTATGCCACCCTCTTAGCTCCTGCATCTCGGATCTTAAGTCCTGTTCTTTCTTCCTTTCATCATACTTTCCCAGATCACGACGGCAGTGACTCAGAACTCCCTCCCATCACGTTCAACACACACTCTCCAGCGGAGTCGATTCAGGAAAGACGATGGACAGCTGAAGTCATCCCGATGAAGAGCTTACACAGAGCAGGGACGCCACCGCGCTTTGGTTATCAAAGAAGCGCGAGCCGAGAAGAGCGCCTGGGCAGGGGCAGAAGGGCGATTTTGAGGCCCAAACCGCTCTTTCACGCTGTGGATGAGGAGTTCGAATCTGAGGAGGAGGCCCCAGCATTTGGGTCCCTACTGTCATCGGAGCTCAGACCTGGCGGGGACTGCAACTTGTCCCACAGCCCTTTGCTCCAAAGGAAGTAGTATCGTGGTATCACGTCCACGGGATTGTTTCTGGGTTTTTCCAGAGTCCACCGCCTTCTGATTATGCTGAAAGCAGGATGTTCAGAGGTCTGGAGAGAGTTATTGAGTTTGGGTCTTTGGAAGCTATTAGACACCAAGACTCTGTATTCTATAAGACATGATTCTGTAAGACTCTCTTAGACATGATTCTGTAAGACTCTATCATGGAGATTTTTCAGAGGACCAGGAACACACTTGCTGGTTCTGCCATGTTATCAGCTGTGCTTCATAGAGGCATTCTCTGTGAAGGACAGACATCCATCACCGCAGGAATTATTCACTGAGTGTGCCCTTCATGTCATTTACTGAGATACGAGACTGGTCAGTAATCCCCCTTGTCTCTACTCATGTCTGTGTGTGCGTACTTTCTCAGTCATGTCTGACTCTTTGCGACCCTTTGGGCTGTAGCCTGCCAGGCTCCTCTGTCCATGGAATTCTCCTGGCAAGAATACTGGAATGGGTTGTCATTTCCTTCTCCAGGGAATCTTCCTGACCCAGGGATTGAACTCACGTCTCCTGCACTGGCAGAGGGGTCCTTAACCACTGAGCCACCAGGGAAGCCCCTTGTATAGCGTCGACGGCCTATAAGACATCTCAGAGCTGGAGGGACATTAGAGAAGGTGGTATCAGACATTCTTATTTTCCAGGGGACAAAAGTGAGGCCTTGAGAAGCTGGCTGGTGCCTCTTCAGGGTCTACTTCCCTCGGAGGACGTGGGTTCTCTCTAGGACAAACATGGACACCAGGGGCGGAAAAGGGCTATCTTACTGTCCTGGATTTCTGTTCTGTAGATGGTGTCGACTCAGGGTTCTGCAGCCGTGGTGGAGGTGACATCAGAGCAGCCTCTGTCTCTCTTCCTCCCAACCTGATCTGTAAGACTGCTTCTAATATGTTTGCGCTGTGTAGCTCAGTCAGGTCCGATTCTTTTGTGACCCCAGAGACTGTGGCCTGCCAGGCTCCTCTGTCCATGGAATTTTCTAGGCAAGAATACTGGAGTGGGTTTCCATTTTCTCCTCCAGGGGATCTTCCTGACCCAGGGATCAAACTCATGTCTCTTGTGTCTCCTGCATTGACAGGCAGATTCTTTACCACTGCGCCGCCTGGGAAGCCTAGTATGCTTGACCACTTTCTAAATTAGGAAAAGTCATTTTTTTAATATAAATAAAATCAGCAGATATGTTGATGTTGTCTAAAGATTTTGCAAGTATGTTTTATCCACAAATAATGCAGGTGGTTTCTTGGAGTTTTTAATTGTTTTTTCCAAACTCAACTCTGTCAAGTATCTTATTTCTAACTCCTCCTGAGAAAACCCAGCCGCACAGACAGAAAGCTCTTTCTTAGAACATCAGTCGGTGTTAATTGTTAATTGGACCATAAGCCACTGGGAATAAAAGAGACACCCGCCTCAGTGCGGGCCACTCCTCTAATTAGCAAGTGATATGTTGTTTCATCTGCCCACAGTATTTGATTTAATAAATTCTTTTTCTTTCTGAGACTCTAGCCAGCTTTCAAGCCAAGGATGCTCAGGAAGTATGACAGGTAAGAAGTCACAATTCCTACCCTATTCCCAGACATTTTACTCAGCAGAGAGACTGGAACTGTTGTAAAATGAATGAAGGGGGTCACTACTCCGTTTTCAGGCAGAGCAATGCAGATCTGGGATCAATATGCATGGGTGTGCTAGTTGTGTCCGACCACGTGTGACCCCATGGACTGTAGCCAGCTAGGTTCCTCGGTCCATGGAATTTCTCAGGCAAGAATGCTGGAGTGGGCTGCCATTTCCTCCTCGAGGGGATCTTCCCAACCCAGGGATGGAACTTGGGTCTCTTCTGTCTCCTGCATTGGCAGCCGGGTTCTTTGTCTCTATTGCCACCTGGGAAGCTAGCAGCGGCTGTAGCCAAATCATTGATTGGGAATGTGCCTCTTACATTGACCACTGTGAAGTGAAAACATGAATTATCCTTTCAGCAATTATTTGTGTTTCTGTATTTTTATTTCTATTGACATATTATCTTTGAACTCAAGGAAGTATGAGAAACAGAGCCAGTTAGAAACTTATAAAATTAAGGGTCACCTAGCACCGTGGCTCTGGACCAGTTTAAAAGGAAGGAAGGTCCCACAGGGTTTCATTTATTTTGTTTCCTCCCAGGACTTTTTTTGGGTGACTAAGCGCAAGTGAAACTCAGATTCTGGGTTTCGCTGGTGTTCTGTTTCACAGGTGAAGGCTGCCCTTGTTTTGCGTTTGTACTTGTCCCGGATCCGGTTCAGGAGGCAGCCCTGTTATTTAACTATACTGTATTTAAAAGGGACTGTGTGTGGGGGGCGGGGGGAAGGGTGTCCCCAAAGTTACAAATGCAGAGTTTAAAAAAACACACAGCGAATCAGAAAGAGGAAAGGAGGGGAAAGTTATGTCCTCCAAGAAGGGGGTATTCTTCGAGGCCAAAAGGACAGGTCCTCATCCAGGGACCCGCCCACGGGAAAGTCACACAGAGCAGGCAGCACAGGCCAGCACGGGTTTAGCAAACAATGCTTGCTGCCTTCCACCCACACCCCTGGAGCTGAATTTCAAGTTCTGAATTTAGATAATACTGCTGGAATTCTTGCAGTTTTGCTACACTCTTGGGACTTCAGGCAGCTCTCTGTTAAAAATATCTGCAAAGAATATTCATTATATTTCAGTCATGACAAAAATGAAAATGAGAATTTGCAAAGTAGGGCTTCCCAGTGGCTCAGTGGCCAAGCACACACCTGCCAGCGCAAGGGATGCAGGTTCCTTCCCTGTGTGGGGAAGACCCCTCGGAGGAAGGCATGGCAGCCCACTCCAGTGTTCTTGCCTGAGAATCCTGTGGACAGAAGAACCTGGCAGGCTACAGTCCGCAGGGTCCCAAAGAGTCAGACACCACTGAACAACAACAGTATATTTTGTAGTATTTTTATTTTATATATCTAATGTTTTGATGTTTGCTTTAGTCTCTAAGTCGTGTCTGACTTTTTTGCAACCCCACAGACTGTGGCCCTCCAGGCTCTTCTGTCCATGGGATTTTCCAGGTAAGAACACTGGAGTAGGTTGCCATTCCCTTCTCTAGGGGATCTTCCCAATCCAGGGATTGAATCTAGACCCAATCCTGGGTCTCCTGCATTGGCAGGTGGGTTCTTTACCACTGAGTCACCAGATCATCTCCTATTTCTGTTAGAGTATTTATATTTTATATATTTCATATATATTAATAGAGATTATATATAATATACATAAATATATAGATTTTTATAAATTATAAAATATAAATATTATTTTATATAATATATAAAATATAAAAAATATTTCATCTATTAATAGAGATTATATAATATATATTTATATATAATATAAATATAAAAAATAAAAAATATAATATATATATATATTTGCAAACTGGAGATCCAGTAAAGCAAACAGTACAGTCCCACTGAGTCCAAAGGCATGATAACCAGGAATGCTGATGGTGAAGTTCTCAATCCAATGGCAAAAGAAAATCAATATCTCAGCTCAAACCGTCAAAGAGAATTCATCTCTTCTCAGTTCAGTTCAAACCATCATGGGTTGGATGATGTCCGTCCACAGTGGGAAGGATTGTCTGTTTTACTCATTCCATGAATCTGAATGCTAATGTCTTCCTAAACACCTTCACAAGGGTGAATGAAGAAATCAATGAATGAATCCTGGTGGCTTAAAAATATGCACAACATGAGAGTTGCAAATTAAGTTTTATTTGGGGCAAGATGAGCATTGCAGCCTGGGAGATGGCACCTCAGATATCTCTGAGAAACTGCTCCAAAGAGGTGGATGGGGGTGGGGGGAGGTCAGTATGTATGTGATTTTGGTGAAGGAGGAGTATATGCTTAATTAAGCACATATTTTTTTGTAGAAAGTTTCTACTAGTCTCATGAAACTTTGCTAGTCATGAGGAACAGTCATTACCATGAAGGATTTTAATGTTTTTCTAGATTTCGGGAGATACAGGAATAGGGCTCATAAAATCAGCTCCTGAGGATATCTGAAGCCCCGCCCTGCCAGTTTGTGCCCCCAAGCACAGAGTGCCTCATTTCTGCTATCCATCCTGAATTCCTTCAGGGAATGTTGAGGGTTAGCATCTGCAGTAGCACATGGCTTTATCCTTGTAGAGGTAGATGGCAAGTGCCCACGGATGGCAACTGCCGATTTGTAGTTAATAAAACCGTCTAGGCAGGCTTCTTGATTTATGGGCTGCTGTGATGCACACTAACGTGTGCAAGGTTTACTATTGTTTTTTTTTAGAATCTAAAATTAGTGTTTGAGATATGTGTATTCAGTCGTTAAATCATTTCTGACACTTTGTAACTCCATGGACTGTAGCATACCAGCTCCTCTTTACTTGGGATTTCGCAGGCAAGTGAGTTGCCATTTACTGCTTCAGGGGATCTTCCTGACCCAGGGATTGAACCCACATTCCCTGCATTGGCTACAGATACCTGGGCTTGAAATATAGCAATTACTGAGCAATATTTGAGCAACTCAATATCAATAATTGAGCAAGTTAATTAATGGTAATTATCCTTTTGAAGTAGGGCAAATACTACTTTTACTTTCAGAAAAATAACTTGTCTCAGTCTACCCAGTTAGTGAAAATATGTGATATTGGTGAAAAAATAGATTCTGTAGTCAGACTATTTTTAACTGAAAATATGGTTTCATCTTCTCCAGCTAGGTGACCCCCAGAAAATCACTCTACTTTTCTGTGCCTCAATGTCCTTATCTATGAAAAAGGGGTGATAATAGTTACTATCTACTTTGTGAGATTGCAGTGAGTTTTAAAAATTCTTCTTGAAGATCCTGAAAAAGCGGTCTTCCTTGGTGGTCCAGAGGTTTAAAACTTCACCTTCCATTGCAGGGGGTGCGGGTTCAACCCCTGGTCAGGGAGCAAGATCACACAAGGCTTATGGTCA